GGGGGAGGCGGAGAAGGGAGGGTGGGTGTTGGAAATCAAACACTTGCTGGATTAGTGTCGTCATCTTTTCCAGTCCCCTGCCTCACAAATCTGGTGACCTGCATGATTCACAAGACCAATTTGTGGTTTGCTGCTGTTTTTAAAAAATGAATTTACCAAACCGTTGCTGAAGAATCTAAAGGTTTCAGCTTCTAAAAAGCACATTGGTTTCTCCATCTGGAATCAGTCCAAGTGATTTATTCATAATTTTATTACAGATCTTTTCCCAGGGAAATTCTTTGTGTCTGATTATCAACGTAATGGAAACGGAAAGAGCCCCTACTAAGAACCCAATCATATGCATGTGACTTTTGCCCCCTGAAAAAACTGGAATATGTAAAACTGTCATCAACAGTAACCATCTTGGCCACTGGACACCCCCAGTCCCCAATTACCACAGGAATTCCTCATGCAAATTCCAAGGTGGTCCTGTCAAATTTGAGGTCCTGGAAGGGGGGGGGAAATCCAATATAAGTGCCTGTAAATCAGAGTTTTACAATGATATTAGTTGACTGCTACTGATGGGGGTTATAAATGTGACACCACAATAAACAGCCAAGTTCTTTGAGGAGGACTCTTTTATTGGCTTTGAGAAATTACCATTCCCCCATCAGGAAAGTCTCATCTGCTTTTGCAACTTATTGCTTTTATTTTCTGTAGTTTGTACAAAATGTCTAAGCTTTTTTCTTTCCAAATATTTTGCCTGGGCTACATTCATGCAAGTTTCTGTTTTCCCCGGGCCTGCAGAACCACAAGCCAAATTAAAACAAATGGGGAGTTGGAGCCTCAACTGGGCCCTGGGAGAGGTCTCCTCCTGCTGCCTTCTCCACCCCTGACTTCTCACAAACCAGCTTCGAAGCAACTGAAATTTCCCTCTTTTTTTTTTTTTTTTTCCTGACCACAAGCAAAGTCTTGTCTCCTTGGTTCTCTGAAAGTTATCCATTCCTGAATTTACCCTTAACCACAGTGGAGGAAAGGGAATAGCTGAGGTCAGGAAATATGGAAAGAATGTTAACAATTTACCACTAAAATATACATTAAGAATATTTTCAGCAAGTATAATCTCCACGTTGAACTTCTAAATCTAGAATTCTTCTGTCATGTGACCACCCTCAACATTTCTGTGTGCCCCTTTCAGCTTCAATTCAGTCCTTCCTGAATGAACTCTCTGTGAAAGGTAGGACTGATTAAACATAGACAAATCAGGCCTCCAAGTTTCCTGTCTTAGTCAACATTTGGCTACACTGATTATAAATGTTAAAGTAGTTAGGTTAAAATCATCTTTTGCATGAGCCAGTGCATGGCTACCATCAGCGATTTTAATGGGTATAAAAACAGACGTGAAAATACATGCACAGGTAATAATGCCTTCAATTGAATAGCTAGTTCTGTTCATAGAAATCCAAAGTCATAAATACTTTTGCTTTAAGATTATCACAGAATGTTAGTATTAGAAAAAAACTTAGAGATCCTTTCTTTCAATCCCTCATTTTATATAGGACACAATTAACAATAATTATCATTGCCAGTGTACCTGTATTATCTCATTTAATCCCAACCACCCTAGAATGTGTAATCCCCACTTTGCAGATGGAAAACCAAGGCATACACAGGTGAAGTAACTAGCCCAAGGTGAAGTGATAGAGGTAGGATTCAAACTCAGGCACTCAGGTTCCTAACTCAACATCAGGTTAGATAGAGAACCTCCAAGGAATTGAGCCCTCGTTTCTGACAACTGGCCTCTTTGCTCTTCTCTGGGGCAAGTGGATGACTGCTACCTGCCTGGCTTTGTCTGCTCTTTCCCTGTGACGTGTCTCAAGGTTGGTCTCATGCTGGTCTCGGGTTGGTCTGGAGGGGCTGTCATGATCCACGATGAATCTGCCATGGTCCCAAGGGCTATAGTCAGTTCCTCCCCAGACACCCATGCTGGGCTGCAGCTGTCGCTAATGAGATATCCAGATTTCTGCCTCTTCGTGAGCCCCTGCTTGGAAACCTTGCATATCCGTGAATCTCATGTGTGTTGTCATGCTCCTCAGCTGTTCCAGTTCGGCAAAAAAGTGATGATGTCTGTGATCAGGTTAACTCTGAGGGCAGGCTTACCATGGAAGAAATGGCCCTCTTTGCAGGGTTTGGGTTTCTGAGTCCGTCTTCACAGGGCTGAAGCTACCTTGAGAATGCAGCATGTCATGAGATAACATTGACTCTGGACATGTCCAAT